TATACAAATAACCTAAGCCCTAGACCTTAGTTTTTAGGGTTTAGGGTTTAGGGTTTTGGGTTTAGGGTTTAGGGTTCAAGAAGGTTTTTATCTCAGGGCGTCTGGTTTTCTGACATATGAGGCCTGAATACTCTAAACCCCGAACCCCAGACCGTGTATAATATGCATGATACAACATATGACATGACATGATATGGTATGGAATGATATCATATGGTAGAACATGAGAACAGTAATTATCATAAGAAAATCGCAATGACAGACACTACCAATAACAATAACAACAACCATAATAGAACTAGTAGTAATAGTCTTAACAGTAATAAGAGTACTAGTACTACGTCAAACAATAACAATAACAATACTATTAGCAATAATCATAACTCATAACAACTTCAAGAATAAGAATCACAGTATATAAAAAAATAATAATAGACGATCCCAATGAAAGCCTGGGAGCTGAGGGAGCATCTTCTTCATGCCAGTATACAGGCACTGGCCTTGCTGGAGGTTCTGGGCTTAGGGTTCAGGATTCTCACGAATCTTAGGGTTTTTTGATGGAGGGCCAAGGGAACGTAGAACCTGGCTGTTTCGGAGGTTTAACATGAAACCCTATGTACTCCCACGACAGAACCCTTCAAGAAAGAGGGTTACGGGTTTTGGAGGGTAGGGTTGATAATGGCTTAAACAAGCAACGGTTTAGGGTTTCAGCACTCACTCTCGGACATGCCTGGGCGTGGTCCCTGGTACGGTTTAGGGTTTAGGGTCTGGCCTTCAGACTCTTCAAACTGAAGAGCTTGTGTCCGCACGTAGCGCCGAGCGTAAGTTGCCTTGCTGCGTGGCTATTTTCTGTTGTTAAGTGGGAGTTTCCGAAAATTAGGGGTACCTTATTTTGGGGTCCTTATAATAGGAATTCTACTATTTGGGGTTCTATATTAGGGTCCCCTATTTTCGGAAACCCCCAAGTGGCTTTAGGTCTAGGACGGCTACCGACCAGGCTCAACTAGGGTGAGTTTGGAGATCGGGTTCAGGATGATAGAGGTCGCACCCCGTTGCACTGCAACCTGCTGGGTCCCGCGCTTCGAAGTTTACGGCTACTGCCACCAGGAGGCAGAATAGCATGGATTGCACTGGTCCGTACTGTATGAGGATTTACTGCTCATTTAGGCACGTTGCAAAGGAGACGCGGGAATGTCTGAGAAGCTCAGTCAACTTCGAGGGGTGTTCAGGGACCGTCAAATGAAGAACATTTTCCTAAATCGTGTTCATCGTATGGTTTAGGGCCTAGGGTTTAGGGTTATGTTGCTTACTTAGGGGCATTTGGTAGGCTCTGGGGCTCTGGGTGCTTCTCGGAAAGGGGCCCAAGAGAATCACAGCCACTTTTCGTGAGCCACTTTTCGTGGGCCATGAACGTCTAGGTGTAGGGTTTCTAGTTCTTACATACTAAGGCCAACTTCATTCGGTTCAATCCAATGTACCTCTAAAGCCATGCTTGTCATTGTGTCTATGAGTATAGATTATAGATCCAAACAGACGGACGGACAGACAGACAAAGAAACATACCAACACACACACACGCACACACACGCATAGGCAAACGCAACAGAAATCTATCTACCAATCTGTCTATCTATTCAAATATATATATATATATATATACACATATATGTAATATATATATATATATATATCTGTGTTCACGAGCCTTAAACATCCTTGAAGTGGGCGATTTAGATTCTGGATACTTTGGGGTCTCGGCCATACATATCATAATCACAATATAGGAGCTGCAAAAACCAAGGCCGTTAGTGCAGACTAACCTTCATGTCATACGCAGCCAACGAGCCGCTTGGCACCTCTACTTGCTTATGGAGGGTTTAGGGTTTAGGCCCCTCATGAGGGGAAAACCATCGATGGAGCGAGAAAGGGCTGAAGCGAGACGCCCAAAACAACAAGACATGAGTGAGCCATGAACAGAACGGAGACCTGAACCACCCTTTTTACACAGGCTTGATCGGAGCTCGCCCGGCCAATGTCCCTCGTAGCACATCGCACTCGTGGCGAGATGCCCAAGGCTCAGTACGCACAATCCTCATGATTTTACTGAAACCCTAAACCCCATTAAACCCTAAACTCAACTTCCCCGAGGGCAGGCTGCTGGAGCTGAAGCGATCTGTATCTGCGCTGGAACGCAGCAGAAAGTTGGGAACGTCTACCAAGGCACCAACCCCGCGCGAAACAATGGAAGTTCATAAGGACGTGTATTTCTAGAAGCCCTGAGTCGTAGAAGCCCCACTCTGGGGACCTCAGAATGTCATACCGCCCTAATTTCGAGCCAATCTTAAGCTGAGGGCACGCCCTCGTCATCTCCGAGGAAGTGCACCGCATGGATCATGCCATGACCATCGAAGATGTGGTAGTCCTGCACACTGTCAGTGCCGACGTATGAAAGGCATGCAGGAAAAGAAAGCCCATCTCAGGTCCAGGACCCTTTTTGCATCCAGGCCTATTGCGACTGCCGGGTACCCTGAACCTCCAAACCCTGGACCCTAAACCCTAAACACTTTAGGAAAGGCTTAGGGCTGAAGTTTGTTTCCCCTTTCCATCACGTCGTCACACTCGCCTTGCCCTCACGCTATATGGTTTGTCCCTATTTGTGATGGTTGCTTAAGGTTAATGCCTTAACAAGAACCCAGGGAAACAAAGGGCCTTCCTCCTGATTTGGGATCCCTGCGGCAGCGTCCTGCATCGACACTGGGGACATCGCCTCTGCCATGCTTGGTCTTACTTGTGGTAAGGCTTAGAGTTTACGCCGGGGCTAGAGTCCTGGAGCTGTGAGTGTAGGTATGGGGTCTCAACAGAGCTGTTATAGGGGGAATGAGGCCCTAGTAAGGTTTGAGGGTTTGGCACCGGAGGGCTCTATGGTCTTAGGGAGTTGTTTATCGGGTTTATCAGAGCGTGGTCGCTATTTCCGCGGGCAAAGCAGTCTTCTTCATCGCGACACCTCCGGGCGTCTGACATACTTCCCCTTCAGCGTTCTTACACAGTCGCTGTGCAAGACTAGACTGCTTCGCCAAGATGCGTTGCGACAGCCACATAAATATGAAAGCCGTCGCGATATGCACAGCCTCAAATCCTGCATCCCCAAACCCCACATTAATTGAATGCCTTAGACCTTGAAAACTTTAAACTTTAGGTTTAGGGTCTCGGGCTCGGGCTTGCGCGACCCTAGTATCGAACCCTAAATCGTAGGACCCCAATCTAAAGGACCTCTCCATCAGAAACCCGTAGCCCCTAGTCCCTAATCCCCTAATCCAACAACGCGACTCCCTCAATTCCTAACCCTAAACCCTAACCCTAAACCATTAAACCCCAAACCCTGCCCCTAAACCCTAAGCCCTAAACCCTAACATTCACAAATCCCCGGCCTGATTCGGCCCATTGCGTAGGAAAATTCCGCCTTGCACGTGCTTCGGGAGGCGCCCACGGATCCGGAGGTTCCTGGCATACAAACAACCTTGGGTTTAGGGTTTGGGTTTAGGTGTTTAGGGGTTTAGGGTTTATAGGGGTTTAGGGGTTTAGGGTTTAGGTTTAAGGTTTGCCCTTCTGGTCCTGGATGGTGGGTATTTAGGGTATATTAGGAAGGTAGTTGAGGGGTCCGGGTGTGTCGGTTCCGCTACGGTCTAGGAGGTTAGGGTATCAGTGTGTAGGTTTCGGGCGATTCCTCCTCGGGTTTCCGGTTTGCGGTTGAGGGGTTTAGGGATTCAGGGTTTAAGGCAAGCCCCAAACCCCGAAAGCCCAAGACAAGATGCCAAGCCCCGAAAGGCACTAAAATCACCTGTGGCCCCGAACCAGAAACCACCAAGGACCCAAAGAGGCACGAGACCTTAAACCGCAAAAGTGCCCTGAACCCTAAACCCTAAACCCTAAACCCAAACCGCAAAAGTGCCCTGAACCCTGGCCTCAGAGTCACCTCTGAAGACACCGGCTCCCAGCCATTCGCCAGCTGAAGGTTGGCTTCCTCTGCCTGGAACGTAAGGTGTTTAGGGTTTACGGCCTCAAAAGGTGGGATGAAGGTAGGTGGGATTAAAGATCCCCGATATAAGGGCTGTTATTTTGGGATTACCCCACCTGCCTTCATCCCAATCTTGGGGCCCTTTGAGCACGACAGGTCCGGCTCAGGGGTTTGTTCAGGGTATGGCCCGAGTACAATGGGCTTGGGGCATGGTTTAGGTTTTAGGGTTTAGGGCTTAGGGTTTAGGATTTGGGTTTAGGGTTTAGGGTTTGGGGTATAACTTTCCCCCCCTAGGAATTGGGGGCTCGTAGACTATCGAGTTTTTAGAGTACGCAGGATTCGACTATGAGGCAAGCAACAGGGTCTGGAGGTTACGGTGCAGGGTTCCACATTCGTGGTGTGAGGCTTGAGGGTCATGTGTAACAATCACAGCAATAGGCCCGAAGTAGCATCTAGCAGCCGTAAACCCTAAACTAGTTCATGGTTGGGATAGTATTAAAAATTTAAATTTATGTTACTTATTGGGTTTAAGTACCTTTCAAAATGTAAAATGTTACCCAACTATGACAAAGTAAACCCTAAAGCGACAAGCAAGCAATTTGCAGGGTGAGGCCGCGGGCCATTTGGGTGCCGGGGATGGCGGGTTCCAGGGACCAGGGCCAAACCGTGAACCTTACATGGGGGTTCCCCAAAAATAGGGGACCCTAATATAGTACCCTAAATAGTAGGATTCCTATTATAAGGACCCCAAAATACGGTACCCCCTGTTTTCGGAAACCCCCACATCTCTACGTCGGTCTCGTATGTGTATGATACAATTATGCATATGATTCATGAATATACATGGTTGCCGCAGATCGAAGCCTCCCGCAGCCACGCAGGAGGACGTCCGAGCTGGCGGAGCGTCGCGGCATCCTTGGAGCAGGATCCAAAGCAATAACTCATTTCTTTCGAAAGTAGGATATAGGGGCCCACACTATTGCTTTGAAGGTTTGCGGGGCCAACTACTGTAGATATACTAAGGAATGCCAAGAATACCATCGAATATACTATTGATTGCTTTGCTCCCTGGTTACCTAGGCTGGAGGCGTCAATGGAGTCTGAAAGGGTTTGCTGAGGCTGTTTTCCTAGCACCGGTGTGGGGTTTGCACCAAGCTTAAGCCCTAAACTTAATGTAGGGGCCTTAATGATTAGAATAGGGTGTAGGGGCCCATTATACTATAATCTTAAATGAGGAACACCCAAAATAGTATTGGCAGTTGTTGAGGCCCCTGTATTAACTCCCGATATTCGCAGTTTTGGCAAGAATCCCAGGGTGGCGAGGTTATGGTTTTGAGGCTTAGGTTTGGTGTTTCGATTCTTGGGGTTGGGGATATGGGGGCCTGGATTTTGTGGCTTAGGGGTTTAGGGTCAGGGGTGTTGGTGTTTTGAAGTCGGGGGCTTTAGGGTTTATGTCGACGGGTTGTGGTTATTTCTCTATCACTTTAGCAACAACAACCCACAAATGCACCGGCAGAGTTATTCATCAGCTTTGTTGAGGTTGATTATGGTATATGTGATGTATGCATAAGGTGTCTTCGGGTGTGGTGCATGGGGTTTAGGGATTCGGTGTTGAGGGTTTCTGTGGAGTGGAGTTAGTGAGACGACCCAGAGAACAAGTGTGAGCATAAGCATTGGCTATCGAAAAATCGCAACGGTGTGAACAAGCCCTTGTGCATCAAGTATTGTATCTGTACTGTATCTGTGCACATCGCGGTAGCAATCATCCTTCGCGAGAGCGGTTCAAACGTCAATAGCAAGCAATTAATGAAGCATGTGCCACGCTGTCCGAGTACGAGAATATGCGGCAAACCGCATGTGATGCTGACCTAATGTAGGGGCATTAATCACTAGAATAGGGTTTGGGAGTCCTTTATAGTATAATTGTAATAAGGGCCCCCCCAAAAACAGTATAGGTAAGTGTTGAAGCCCCTATATTAGATTCCCTTACCCTTCTCGGTCTGGTTGTGTTGGTTGGCTTGTTTTCTCTAAATTATGTGTAACTTGAGCCCCAAACCCTAAATCCCGAAACCCTGAACCGAAAGCCCCTGAAGCCTAATCCGAAAGAAGGGGCTGATGATCCCCGCATGCCGCCCTGGTCCAGAACAGCTACTTGGGGGTCCATGGGTAGCTGTAAGTGGGGGTTATAAGTTGGGTAGCTATATTTACAACCCATACTAGAGACTTATAACCACACTTATGTCTATATAACTGCTCATGAACCTCCAAGTCGTGCTTCTTGGAACTATGTGGTCGTGGCGCCAGCTGGGCAACCGCGACATCGGTTGATGCACGGGTGCCTCGTCGCGAGATGCGGCGGCCTCGTAGCCTGTCAGGAAAACTTTACCTTAACAGATGACTAAATGGGAGTTTCCGAAAATAAGGGGTACCTTATTATGGGGGTCCGTATAATAAGGACCCAACTATTTAGGGTGCTATCTTAGGGTCCCCTATTTTCGGAAACCCCCAAATCACAAACAGCACAATACGCCTCAATAAAGGAATTTACGTTAACATCTCTTATTCTGATTTAAGCCATATTCCCTGATTGAGGGGTATTGGGCTCCTGGGTAGTTCGTACGAGACGCTGCGAAGTCGTGTTGGTGCCAGGAATATAAGAGCCTCAATAATTGCTAATATTCCTGTTTAGAGTTTTTTAGTGATATAACTATGGTCGGATTTACCCTAAAACAGTATTCTAGTCATTTATTCATGGCTCCGACTGCATGTTGCCATCTGAACATTAAGCAGCTCCTCATTGGAATCTGAAATCCTGGAGCTAATGCCAGCAAAAGGTTTGGTTTAGGGTTTAGGGTTTAGGGTTTAGGGTTTAGGGTTTAGGGTTTAGGCAAACCGTTGAAAGATTAACAATTGGGAAGTCAAGGAAAAACTTCGCTGCCCTCTGTGTTCGTCCAGTTCACGGCTTTCTGATACAAAAACCAATCGTGTACTCTGGTACCCTCTGAAAAAAACTAGAACATATTACAACCTTAACGCATCATTATACGTATGTATATATATATATATATACACATATGTTACTACAATGTAACCCGTGTAGACTGGACCGTTTCAGACCTTGAGCTTTCAAGGTTCTCAGCATGAATTCTTAGATGGGAAGAGAGAGAGAGAGAGAGAGAGAGAGAACGAGCGAGCGAGCGAGCCCTCGGAAGGAACCAGGGGGCTACTGTTGCGGCCTCAATGGCTAGAACGAGGGTTCTGGGGTACATTCCACAATAACGTAGGAGAACAATTGGACTAGGGTTTTGGGCCCCTGTATAGCATAGTTCTACTAAGGAACCCTTGCGAATAAAATAGGTGATTGTTTAGGCTTCTACGTTTAGGCTTCTACGTTACAGCTTTTATGACGAACTCTAAGGAATAGTGAGGAACTCTCTAAGGAATAGTAAGGAAGTCCAAGGAATAGTATGGGTCATTCTTTAGGAGCTGCACTCTTACCGAAAAGTACTGACGCGGTGCACACAAGCAGCTGTCTGATAATTTCCCTTACCTGGGGCTGCATGAAGGGTTCCTTTGTCGTCGTAGGCGTTTAGGAAGCACTCCTGCTGACATCATTTGACGGAAAACGTGGCATAGATTCCAGCAGCGGTTTCAAGTTTCAAGGGACATCTTTCGAATAGTCACCCTAATCCCCATCTGCCCACCAGAAAGAACTCGATTTAGATTCGACAGCACCCGAAAACAACCCGCGTTGTCCGTAACCTAAGAAACCCAAGACCCCATCCTAAGGCCTGTATTGGCCGCGCCTTAAGACGGCAGCTGTAGCCACTGCCAAGCAGGCAACTCGACGGTCGGCCCCATGGCCCTGCAAAAAAGGTACCACGGTTTAGGGTTTAGGGTTTAGGGTTTGGGGGGGGGCTATGGGGTGGTTTGCCTGCACAACGAGGTTTAGGGTTTGGGGGTTTAGGGACGGCGGGGCTTGGTCTTGGGTTTACTCTCAAGGAATGCACACTGGCAGCTGGAGCAAAAGCCAACAAGCTGCGACTTGGGGCGTTGATGCTTTTCGGGTTCAGAGGTATAGGTTTCGGAGTTTTAGGGTTTAGGAGGCTTGGGAGGCGAGGTTTCTTGCGGCCATTGCGCTGCACAAGTCAGTCGAAGAACGCCCCTAAAACCACTCGGTCAGGGGTTTTATTCTTTATCAACTTCAGGGGCTCATTCGCCAGCAAGACCCGCAGTCAAACCTTCATGCTCAAGCTGCGCAGCCCGAACGCAGGCAAACTTAAATCTGAGACTCTACAGCCCTTAGCCTGAAGCTCGAGAAGCTCCTACTTGCAGCTAATGTAGGGGCCTTTATTATTAGAATAGGGTTTCGGGGCCCTTTATACTAGAGTTATAATAGGGAGCCGTCCCAAAAATAGTGTAGGTAATTGTTAAGGCCCCTATATGCCCCTATATTATATTTTCCTGGCCTTCCAGCATCCTTTGGGAGCACCCGGACGCGACTCCGGTAGCCGCGGCTGTCCTTCTGGCTCGGCTGCAGGGTCTGCGGTTTGGGATCAGGGCCTGTGGGGTGCCTTAATCATTAGAATGGGGATTTGGGGTATTTTTATTCCATAATTGGATTAAGGAGCCCCCAAAAAAGTTGACTGTAGTTGTGGAATCGCCACGAGGAGCCACAGCAAAGCAAGAATGCAAATCAGCGAACGCAGTCGTCATCGCAAAAGTAGTCGTCGTGGTCATAGACGTGGTGCTGACCGCCGTGGTGCCAACCGTCGTAGCAGCAGCAGCAGCAGCAGCAGCAGCAGCAGCAGCAGCAGCAGCAGCATGAGTAGTAGTAGTAGTAGTAGTAGTAGTAGTAGTAGCAGCAGCAGCATGAGTAGTACGAGTCGTAGTAGTAGTAGTAGTAGTAGTAGTAGTAGTACTAGTAGTAGTAGTAGTAGTAGTAGTAGTAGTAGTAGTAGCAGCAGCAGCATGAGTAGTAGGAGTCGTAGTAGTAGTAGTAGTAGTAGTAGTAGTAGTTGTAGTTGTAGTCGCAAGCGGAGTGGTGGTGGCAGTGGCAGTAGTAGTAGTAGCAGTAGTAGTAGTAGTAGTAGTAGTAGTAGTAGTAGTAGTGGTAGTAGTCGTAATCGTAGTAGCAGTTCAGTAGCGGTAGCAATAGCAGTAGCAGCAGCAGCAGTCGCAGTAGGGGTAAGAGCCGGGGAAGCGGTAGGAGTATATGTCGTGCTTTTAGATGTGATAGTAGTAACTTAGTAGTAGTCCTAGGCAGAGTGCCGCTAGTTGTCCAAGTCCTTCAACCCTAGACTCTCAAAGCCCAGACCCTGAATCCCAAGCCCTACGGGCACTAAACAATAAATCCCTAAAATGTAGGGACATGAATAATTAGAATAGGGTCTGCGGGCTCCTTATTATAAACATGGTATGGTATAATATACCCCCAAACCCTATTCTAATCATTAAGGCACCTGGAACCCGTATAGTACCCCGCAAAGGACCCTTGACTGTTCCAGGGAACCCTGAAAGCCGTAAAGGAAACCTATAGAATCCTAAACCCCACACCAGAAAAAAACATATATGTCTCAAGCTGTAAAATCCGATAAATTTACATCTACAAAAGCGTAAAAAGCTAAGGCCCTCGAGCTGCCCTGCCTTTGTCAACGTGCCAGGATATTCCCCAGAGTGGCTCCATGCTTTGGAGTTTGGCTTTTGGTTTAGGGTTTGGGAGTTTGGGGTTTAGGGGTTTCGGGTTTGGGGGTTTAGGGGTTTCGGGTTTGGGGGTTTAGGGGTTCGGGTTTAGGGGTTTAGGGCTTTAGGGTTTAGAGATGACCGAAGCTCCGATAGGATTGTGTGGGAGCTTCCCTACCGTTCAATGGAGATTCCTTAATTGTTTTATAATGTTTTTGCGGTTGCATTATAGGGGTATACTTGCAGTGGTCATCAGTAGTATTTACAGTTCTGTCGTACTGTAAGGACTCTCTAGGGCCCTAGGGTTTCAGGTCTTACAGGGGGTTGTTGTATCGGATCTGATAATGGGTCTCAGCGAACGAAAGTTTCCGGCATAGCCTCGGGGGTTGTGCTTAAGTGCTAGCATTATGAGGCTGAGGACTTGAATTAGGATTTGGGGTTAGAGGGGGTTTGGGGTTTTAGGATGTGGGGTTCGGGCTCAACCCTGAAGCGTATGTAAAATCTTGCTTGCGTTTGTGGATGGCTGTGGCTGTCTCCTTTTGCAGTTGTAGGGGCTGGGCGGCTCTAAAAAGAATGACCATAGGCCCTGGGAGCCAAAAAGGAATGCATTGGTTGCTACCCTAAACCCTAAACCCTAAACCCTAAACCCGGGAGATTCTGGAGCTGCCTCTGCTGTTGATCATATGCGCAATAACAAAAATCGTACCTTACTGACACGGCGATTTTGACGATTTGGCTAAACACAAATACGACAAACACAACACCTATTACTGCTTTGGTTGCTTTGCTAAGCTACTACTGCGATCCTTTCCCAAATCCGTCTACCATGGAAGCTGACATGCCGCCAAGGATTCTTTACTACCCTAAGCCCCACACTTTTCTGGAATCCATGATTTGGGGCTGTTGCGGGCGCGTTTTGGGATTGTCTGGATGACTTTCGGCCAAGACCTAGATCCTGAACCATACCTGCATCATGAGTACATCTATAATTACTGCTCCGCAAAACTGACCTCAAGACTGCGCAGCCATCAACCCCGTGATTTGCACTTCTACAGCTGCGAGTTTACTCACAAGTCTCTAGGACTCTCGGTCTCTTATTTAAAGGCTCGGGTTTAGGGAATAGGGTGTTAGGGTTTGGGATTTAGCCCGAGTCCCAACCCCCTCACTGCCCAGGGAGCCCACTCGGAGCGCGAAAGGTACATCCTCGCATGCAGAATCGATTCAAGCTCCTTCTGTGGTGACAGTTGCAGGTCTGGAGCCTGGCTCCATGGCATCTTTGTAGCCAGACTGCCAAGCTCTAAACACATGGAAAAACCCTGTGCCTAATATAGGCCTCAATAATTACCTATATTATTTAGGGGGTTCCTTACTATGATTATAAGATAAAGGACCCTAAAACCCTGTTCTAATTATTAAGCCCCCACATTAAACCCCTGAAGCCGTGGTGTGTGGGGGTTAAGGGTTTAGGGGGCCGAGAGAATGCTTCACCGGAGCTCTCAAACTCACAGCCCTGAGGGTCAATCACCAAAATCTGAAACCTTTCGTTGCACAAGTTGGACAACGTACACAACGCATCCATACTAAGACTAAGAAATCAAAATAGATAGTTAGCAAAGGGAGTGAACTTAGCATTCACGGAAGCCCCTTACCGCTTCGGAAGCGCCTACCGCCCGAAATGTGAAATGTGTGATGGTGTCGAGGGTTTTGTAGCGGCTCTGCAGCTCCTGTACATGTCAGGTTCGAGTTTGGCTTGGTGACTTCTGCAGCCTGCACTTTCTAGAGTTCTTAATTAAGAGCCTTGAGTTATAGGATGTTATAGGAAACCTTCTAGGGACTCTTGTCTCTGTGCATGGGATGGGCTGCACGCCCTCCCTCCCGACTTGACTGAATTCCCATGCATGGGCACCTGACTGTTGTCAGATTTAATGTAGAAGCCTGAAGAATTACCAGCATTGTGCTTCAGGGGTTCCTCAATATAGCTATAAGTTAATGTGCCCCAGCACGCTGTGTAGTTCATGAACGCCCGCATATTATGGAACCTTGCTCAAAGGTGTTATTGCTTCGGGCTTTCGATCTAGAGTTCAGGGATTTGGGTTAGGCTCAGATCCTGGGCTCAAGTTCTGAGTCCGGAGCTGGCTTTAGGATTACTATAGGGCTTCAGGGTTTTGAGGCTGAGGGCTTTGGGATGCACAACCTGAGGAACATAGCTTCTAGCCGGAGCCTGGAAAGCTATGGCCCACCAAAGCCCTAAACCCTCTGTGGCCCTAGAGTCGACTTTTGACACGGTTGATGATATAAATCCTGCATTACCCATAATAAGGAATATACCATATACCATAATTCCCATAGTTTAGGGTCCTTAAGGTAGTGCAGGATTTTCAGCAATAGGGCCTGGGCTAAAAACACAGCAGCTTGGGTGCCCGGCTCACCCAAAGCTTGCAAAAGCTCCGGCCCATATTGCGAGTCTGCCTCGGCGCCGTTAGAAGTTAGGCATCAAGTTATGAAAGCTTGATGTAGGGGCCAAAATAACTAGAATAGGGTTTTGGGCTCCTGTATAGTATTATTCTTAAGAAGGGACCCTAACAGCAATATTGGTACTTATTTTGGGCTTCCAAAAAAAGCGAGATGACCTATAGGGTTTGAGGAGCTTGGCAGGATTAGGGGAACTAGTAGGTAGGTCGTTTTTTTGTTTAGGGTTTAAGGGTTTAAGGTGTAGGTTGACTAAGGGTGCGATGACCTCTGCCTTGACGTAGACACCACATTCCTAAGTCATGTAGTCCTGGAAGACGTGTCTCAGTTCTGTTAGATCACCGCCTAACTACCACCGACATTCAAATACATGTATAGCCCGCCGCTCAACGTCGCGGGAGGATTAACAACCCTAAAGCCCCGGAAGCCCCTGAACCCTAGCCCCTCTGAACGCGAAACACCCGAAGCCCTAAACTCCCTAAATCCTGACTGGTAAACCGTGCAGCCGCAGACGGATACCACAGAAGCCCAGACCCACGAAGTCCTCAGAAACTGCAACCAATCAGTCAGCCCCATTGAACTCCTATAGAGTTCCAATCATATCGAGTGATGAGCCGCTGGAATCGTGCTAGGCGTTTGTGGTATTAGATACACGTTATAGTTCTCGAGGCACTATAACTAAAAGTAGCTACCTAATCAAACCCCTATATACGATAGATGCCCCCCCCCCCCAAACAAAAAAAAAACATGCGTAGCTAGTGTTCTGGACAGTCCTGAACCCCTAGACACCCCTGAACGCCTTCCTCGGACGAGCCCCTGACCAGCTCTTTGGCCTCCTCCCTCATCTGGGCCTCGTAGGGTGTCGGGATCAAGTCGTCCCTAGCTTCAAGGAGAAACATATGGGTGGTTGTCAAAAT